AGTGGGATGGCAAGCTGCCAGCAGTAAGTGAATGTCCCTGCCCATGCGTACCCACGCGTACTCATGCATACGCATGCATGAGCAAGGGGCGTTACAAGGACTGCTGCTCATGCCGCAGACTTGATGACAACAAATTGCAAAGGAGCGTAGTTGAGTGGAGAGGAAAGGAGGGGAGTGGAGGGGAGTGTAAGGGAATCGAGGGGAGTGGAGGGGAGAGGGTGTCTCACGGTCGGATCACGGCTTTGGGCTTCCCGTCGTCCCCCGGTGGCCCGATGGGCGCCCTGCCGTGATGCCGCGCGATGGGCATGGGGGACGATGGAGGTAGCGTTGCAGCAAGTGAGTATGCAGAAAGGGCACGACAGGCACGCATGATACTTGGAGACACAGCACCACCAAGAGTCAAAACGTCGCTAAAATGCGGTGTACACACAAATATGATACTTAAGTTCTTCGCATCCTGTTAATCCAGCCACCTTGTAACGAGGCAAGCAGCATGCATGCATGCATGTCACCTTGTAACGAGGCATGACGCCACTGTGAGGCCGAGTCGTGTGTCAGGGTCCAGGGCAAAGCTGGTGGGGCAGGCAGGCAGCGAGTGGGACGAGGAGGGGGGGGCAAGGAGGGAGGGCAGGCCAAAGAGGATATACGCGCGAAGAGCAGAGAGGGAATGTGTGGTAAAGGGGCAGTTGGCAAGGTAAAGGAGGAGCAGGAGGACCAAGGAGAGGTGGAACAGTGAGAGAGAACGACCTTTCCATGCGTGGATTGTGTACATTGGAAGCATAGAGGCGCACATGAACACACGCACCGGAATATCTTGGTGTTGTGGCTGATGTCCTGCACCTGCTGCACCCTGAACGCCACAAACTGCTGCGCGCTCAGCGCTGCAGAGGGGAAGACGGAAGGGAGACACCACGGCGGGCTTATGGGATGAGCGTGGCAACTGGCGATTGTACAACATCCTAGACGCATGTCATCAGTCAGCTTCCACACAGCACAAGCAGCGGAGGAGGGTGGCAGGGGGGACGCAGGTGGCAGGGCGGAGGAAACTTGCCTGCCTTGGGTGCCGCCTCGCAGTGCGCCGAGCCAGACGAGCCCTGCTGGCACGAGGGGGCGAGGTGGGGCGAGGTGGGGCGAGGTGGGGCGAGGTGGGGCAAGATGGGGCGAGGTGGGACGAGGTGGGGCGGGGCGTTATACGAGCGGGAGGGAAGATAAGGGGAGAAGCGAAGGTGGTGCGAGGGGGGGATGGGGTGAGGGATGGGCGAGCAGTGCGGGATGGCAATGATGGCATGGCAGGCTCGACGGGGGGGATGGGGGGTGAGGGGGGCGGGATGGGGGGTGAGCGGGGCGGGATGGGGGTTGAGGGGGGCGGGATGGGGCTGCAGCAGGGAAGGGCGAGGAGGTCGGGTGGCGACGGGAAGCACAATGGACTGTCAACCCGCACATCCCAGAAGCACGCCGGCGGGCAGGCAGGCGGGCAGGCAGGCGGGCAGGCAGGCGGGCAGGCAGGCGGGGAGAGAGGGAGATCAAATCCTGATCTCATCGCCAGTCACCCGCTGCGCGCTTCCACACCCTCCATTGGCAGTTCTGCTGCGCGCCTCGTCGCTGCGCCCCTGGCCTCACCTCCGCGCCTGCAGCGGCGAACGACGAAGCCGCGGCGGAAGCTGCGAGGGCGGCCGCGCCAGCCGTCACCAGATACCGCCGCGACGACGACTCGCCCGCCCGTCCGGCGGCGTCCGCGCGATCGACGTCGTCGGCGCGGCCAGCGAGGGGCGAGGTGAGCGGCGCGGGGGCGAGGTGCGTGGCGAGCACGCGCAGCCTGTCCGGCGCGCAGCGACGCTCCGCCAGGCCGCGGAGAAGCAGGAGAGCGCGCATGGCGGAGGACGGTGGGAGAGCAGCGAGGGATGGCACGGTGGTGAATAGATTGGATGAAATGGGTGGCGTGATGGATGTGGCTCGATGGAGTGAAGGATGGTGTGGTGTGGAGTCAAGCATCTTCAATATGCGATGCCTCACGATACTATGTTACAAAACACTTTAACCAGACTATCCGTTGTGCAAATGAATCAGTTTAAATAGTGTTAGTGACGCTCTTTGATTCCAATGGTGTACGTCCTCTACATAAATATACATAGTGACCAGATAATATGGTAATTTTTACGAACAACCTTGAATGTCCCTTCATTTTTATAGACGTATCAATGCTCTTACCAGAGTAGTTTTGGACATAATCCGCAACATTGAGATAGCATACCTACCTAACCCTAAAAAAGTGCATGTACTCCCTCCGTTCGCATAACGAACAGATTTATCTCCACAATAGTGCGTCGAATATTTGGCAGGGCGCTGAGATCTTGCGTAGTTTCTGGCTGAAAATAGGACGTCGTTTGCATCTTCACTTGCATTTCCGCGAGTACGAGCTTCACTATCGTGACATCTTTCACGTGGCGCGTGCCCTCGTCATCGCATCGTGTTATCGGCATCGCGTCACCCGCGGGTCACAATGAGCGCGCCGGCACCCAACCCCCAAGCGATGCTCGTGAGCGCACTCTTCGCCCGCCCTGCAGTTTTCGCTTCTGCCTGTCGCACGATGTAGCGCTGTGCGCGCTGAGCTCTCATCTTGTCGCCATGCTTCCGCTGCCCGTCCCTCTGTTCAGCGCCATGTCGCTGGCTCCGGTGCACCGTCCCTCGTTACAATCGCACTCACTCTGGCGAATGGGACACTAGAGTGTGGAAGAGACAACACCTCTCGTTCCGTGTCTTCATGTCATGCCATCCCTCGCATCGCATTGAGCGTATGATTGGCCCCGAGAGTGCCCACCGTGCTTCCTTCTTCTCGCCCTCCACATTCCGCGCCGCGTCCCTCTCCCCCCAACCTTCCCCACCCCAGGGGCGCGCGGCGCTGAGCGGGTTCACGCGGCTGTCGAAGGGGCTGGCGGCGGTGTTGCTGATGGGCTACGTGGTGTCGCTGCTGCCCTCCACGCACACCGCCTTCGCTCTGCTGCCCGGCAGGCAAGTGCCGCGCGCACACGCAAGTGCCGCGTGCACAGGCAAGTGCCGCGCGCACAGGCAAGTGCCGCGCGCACACGCAAGTGCCGCCTGCACAGGCAAGTGCAGCGCGCACAGGCAAGTGCCGCCCGCGCAGGCAGGCTGCACGGCCGTCGGGCGCCCCTCTTTCAACCGCACACGTGAACGACTTTGGCGTATCCCCCTCCTGTGTTCACGCATGTTGACCCTCTCCCTGCGTCCTCCCTTCAGCCTCGTGCCAATCTCGTGCAGGCTTCCCCCCTTCCCCAACCATCACCACCTCCGTCACTCGCTCTCATGCTCCGTTGGTCGCCCCCCCCCCCCCCCCCTGCGTGCGCGCAGGACCATCCCGTTCGCGTGGAATATCGTCACGGCGGGCCTCTTTGAGCGCCACCTCTTCACCGTGAGTGCACCGCCTGCCACCTCACACCAGGGGTTTAACGCCATCCGACGCACATTTAAAACATGCGCGTTTTGACCCAACCATGTGGGTAGTGGGGTGTTCTAGTGAGCGCCATCTCTTTCACTGTGAGAAACTCTAGATGCTGTCAATGTGATGCCAACACTGCGCCATCTCTTCACTTCACTGTAAGGCGAATGCAGTTTCCTATCTGTAGAGTCTGGATGGAAACTGCTGAACGTTGAGAGCCAGCTTGTTCCCACATGGGCGGCACCAGTCAGCTCTGCGCACTGCTTCACCCCTTCCTCGTCCCACGCCCCTCCACCTGCGCCCCTCCACCTGCGCCCCTCCACCTGCGCCCCTCCACCTGCGCCCCTCCACCGGGCCCTGCCCCCTGCGCCCGCACCCCGTGCAGCTGGTGCCGGACGTGGTGGCTTTGCTGTTCCTGGGGCGGGTGCTGGAGCCGGTGTGGGGGTCACGTGAGTTCCTGCGGTTCGTGGTGATCGTGAGCACGCTCACCACGGTGTGCACCTTCATCGCCATGGTCACCGCCTACTACTTCACCTTCCAGGGATACTTCCTGTGAGCCAAAGGACCAACCCCTGCGTCTTTTTTAGAATTCTAGAAAAAGCGCCTGTAAATTGCTTCCACAGTGGGGCTGGTTAGTGTGCTTAAAAAGCTCATTCATTGCCACGACCATTCCTGGGCTGTTTTCCGTGAATGCTGCTGCACCGTTTGTGATAACTTGGCATGTGCATTGGGTATCAGTTGTGTCACCCCCCACAGTGTGTATGATGTGATGTCCGTAGCTCATTGCGATGGCTCATGCTCCTGGCTCATGTGAGCGCTGAGGCACTGCACGCACACACCACATGCTCATGTAATTGGACATGTGGCACAACTGTCTGCTTCGTCACTTGTGTTGAGCCACTAAGCGTAACCAATCCATTGCACCACCGTGGTAGGGCGTGTGGATGGTGCACCGATGCCGTGAAGGAGGCAGCAGAGAAGGGGGTTGATGTGTCAGAGTGTAGATTTCAGCCGCACATGAAGGCAAAACTCAACGTCGTATCACATGAGCGATTGGAGCGGCAAGTAATGAAACCGCAACCAGGAAGTTTTGCTGGAAGGTGTCTCAAAAGCGAGGGATTGTTGTGGTGTCACCTTGATAGGCGGGAAGCTTAGTTGCGGAAGACGCGTCTAGCGTCTCAGACGCTGGCGTCTAGATGTAGCGTCTAAGACGCTAGACGCGCGTCTAGGGCTGATTAGACGCTGGGTTAGACGCAAGCCCGGGCAGGCAAAAAAAAAGTACGGACAGCCAAAAAAGCCTTCTATGGGGCATGGGGAGGGGGGGATATGGACGTAGCTAACATTTGAAGCTATTTTTTCTTAGGTTTTGATTGTTTCCCCCCAATTTTTATTTCTGGCCTGCCCCAAAACTTTTCCCGCTTGCGTCAAGCGTCTAGACGCTAGACGCAGGACGGTCCTGGTGTCTTGCGCAACTAAGGCGGGAAGTGCTCACGTTGCTTGCGGGTGAGCTGGATTGTGCTCTATTCGAGGTCACGGCGAGTGCAGTGCACAGCAAACGTGGCACTAGTGAAGCTACAAGGTCAGGTCTCGATAGGGTGGAGAGGATGGAGTGGTGAGGGGGCAACTTAGTGACAAGAGGAGAGACTCATGCAGGTCGGGCGTTTGAAGCCCACCTTGCACGCCCACCCACTCCCTACCATCGCACCCCAAACCCTGACTCTTATTGACTTTTCGCCAGGCTTTCATTAACTAGTGAGTGCGACACTCCACTACCTTTCCACTTGGAGATTGTCATTCGCCACGTGCACCCTCCTCTCAACCTTTCCCCTCCTCCTCCACTCCCTGCCTTCCCATTTGTGGCTTGTGGGTGTGCGCAGGTACGAGCCGATATCGGGGTTCCACGGGGTGGTGGCGGGGCTGCTGGTGGGCGTGAAGCAGCTCATGCCCGAGCAGGACATCACTGTTGCCTATGTCCTCAAGTTCCGCGCCAAGGTGCGTGCCGCGTGCTGCACGTGTGAAAGGTAAGGACTCGAGCACAAGTAGGGGGTGCTGCATGTAGTACATAGTGAAAGTTGAAGTGTTCTTCTCAATATTTACTAGAATATTGGTCACGTGTTTGATGTGCTGATTGAAACGGAATGTAATTTGTATTAAATAGCAATGCCGGGAGTTGAAGATAATGATTCGCTTTGTGACACGAGCCGAAACGCGCACCGCATCTATTGACAGCTCCAATCAGAATCCACGTTGCTGTGCACGTGGCACCCAGGCGGTGGCGCAAAGCAAAGCACTCAGTTTGCAGCAGACACAAGGCTTGACTTGACGAATCCTTCGTCAATGGGTGCAGCACACTATTCCTTGTCTTTTACAGACTCTGTCAGCCGCCTCCTCATTACCGCCATCTCATTCTGCCTTCCCCTCCCTTTTACAATCTTCTCCCTCACACCACCGCCTTCCTCGCTCCCCACGTCAGTGGTTGCCGTCCCTCTTCGTGCTGCTGACGGTGGTGCTGTGCTTCTGCATCGGCCACTACCGCCAGCTGCTGCCCTTTGTGCTCTTCGGCACGTACACCAGCTGGGCCTACCTGCGCTTCTTCCAGCCCAAGGGCGACAGCGGGCTCAAGGGCGACCCAAGCGACGACTTTGCCTTCGAGACATTCTTCCCAGAGGCCCTCAGGTGTGCCTCACCTCTTCCCAGAGGCCCTCAGGTGTGCCTCACCTCTTCCCAGAGGCCCTCAGGTCCACATACTCTTTACTACGTTTTTCGTTCTCCTCTGCTCTTCTCTAGCCTTGTTCGGGTCTATTCTGTTGCCATTCTTTCGTCCGCCCTGCTTCTGGTATGGTGCATTCTGGTTAGGCCCTGCTTTTCTGATTCAGTGCGAAGTCAGCGCAGCTAGAGGTGCATGTGAGCAGAGGTTCACCTGGTCTATACCACCTGCTGCCTCTTGAATCTTCCCACCCCCACACGCCATCCGCTCACCTCTCACGCATGCCCTCGCCCCTCCCTCACGTGTTCCTTCCCTTCCCACCACAACCCCCCACCGTCTTCCACCTTCCTCTTTTTCTCCAGACCCGTGGTGGGCACGGTGGCAACCATTCTGGGGCGGCTGCTGTGTGGGAGGCGGGTGGAGCGGGCGGCGGTGGTGGATGAGGACCAGCTGCTCGCGGCCGGCAAGCCGCTGCCCGGCTCCGACCCCGCTGAGGCCTCTCGACGCAGGTGAGCCCGCTGAGGTCTCCCGACGCAGGTGAGCCCGGGGCAGGTGGGCCTGGGGCAGGTGGGGTCACGGGCAGGTGGGGTCACGGGCAGGTGGGGTCACGGGCAGGTGGGGTCACGGGCAGGTGGGGTCAGGGGTAGGTGGGCCGACGAGCAACTGAACTTGCGGCTCCTGAGGCCTCTTGCTGCACATATGCCCCTCTTACGTTAGGCTGGCAGTTTGCTGTGCATGCGCCAGAGCAGCTGTAGGTGCTTGTTGGGTGGTCAGAATCACTCCTGATTCTTGATTCCATCCTTGTCCGCTGCGCCCCCCCTCTCCTGTGCCCCACAGGGAGAGGGGAGCGAGGGCGTTGGAGGAGCGGCTGGCCAAGGCAGCAGAGGCGGCAGCTGCAGGAGCTGCGGCTGCCGGGGGCTCTGCTGCTGGCGGCGCCGCTGCTGCTGGTGCCCCCTCTGCTGTTACAACAGGCGCTTCCCTCGGGCCGACTGAGCGGAGTGCCTCCAGTGGCAACCTGGCGGACAAGGTGTGACCGCAGCCAGGCAGGGTATGCAGTTTGGACTGGACTTGCTGAAGGAGCAGCTGAGATGAACTTATGGGGCCACGGAAATCGTTCAAAAAATCGCTACTTCCGACACACCTCAATGATGATCTTGCAAATAATGCAATTGGTACAAATGATTGATAGTGTGGATTGGATTCAAAAAAAAATATCAGGTAGCTCCTACATCTTTCCTGCATCCAAACCTGCATAAAAAATGAAGGGACCTGGGTAGCATGATATTTTTCCCACTGGCAGGAACCGCCTGGGGGCCCAAGAAACGGGCTCTCTGTTCTTGACGTTCTACCCAAGCTATCAGTGAACTACAGCGTTCCCATCACACAGCCTCCTCGTGATGCCTCGCCCGTGCAAAGCATAGGCTACGGTATGTGTTTCCATTCGAGCCGCCCAATTCACGAAGTGCTTATGAGCCACACCCGTCGCTGGTTCTTGTTCCTGGCGGCGATGAAGGCAGCTCCAAGCCTTCTACTACCTCCCCGTCGACTCTGAACAGCATGCCTAGCAAAAGGCCATGGGTCGGGGTGAAATACACTCAGCAGAGGTTATGGGACGCCCTTCCGCCAGCGAAGGATGCATCACCGAAGAGCACAGAATCTCCTCCCGATCCCAAACCACCAACCGTAACCGTAGAAGCTGAGTACGAAGCTTACAAGCACAGGTACGACACGGAGTGGGCCGGGGAATTCCATTGGTTATAGCTACATCGCCAGACCAACGGGAGGCCTTCGCTGAAATGTAAGTCTTGCATTCAGTACGAAGATCCTACCCCTCGCACTGTCTACGGCGCGAAGGGTGAGGGTGGCCGTGACTTCCTAATTGGGAGCATTCGTGTTCACTCTTCTACCTGAGACGTTGGAGAACGAAGTTCAAGCGCTTGCGGCTAAGGACAAGCAAGTTACATTGACAAGGTGGCAGGAGACGGATTCGCATCACACCATCCGCTGTCTGCATATCGCGATGTTCATCTGCAAAGAGAACGCCCGCATCGCTACATTCGTCCCCCTGTGCTGGTTTCCTGCTAAGGAGGGTCTACCAGATCTTCCCCCCAACGGCGGCTACGGCGCCTACTACACAGAGTGAGTTAGTTGTTTTTTGTATGTATTACTTTTGGTTTGAGTATCATTGAATGTGTCTAACCGTCACGTTTCCTTGCTTGTGATGCACTTACGGTTTCAAGGAGTGTCTTCATGCGACATCCACGTACCTGCAGGAGACGCAGCGACTTCACCTTCTGGAATAGCCATGGATTGGCCTGTCGCTCGACGAAAGCACTGACCTCATTCGCAGCAAACATTCGATTCTATACGCCTCATATATCAATAGCCGGACCGTCGTCGACGAGTTTCTTACTCTGATAACCGTCGATCGCGCTGACGCTGATTCTCTTACTTTCGCTGTTGTGAAGTATCTGACCGGGATTGGTGTCCACCTGCAGAAAACTACAGGCATCGTGACCGGCGGAGCCAACATAATGGTGGGGAAGAATAGTGGAGTGGTGGCCCAGCTCAGAATGCGGATCCCGCACCTTGCGTCTACACATTGCATCGCTCATCGATAAGGATGTTGTTTGTATTTGTTGTGAGTGTACGACGGCTTATGCCAGCTATGCTTGCTTGCCTAGACTTTATTATGCTATTTCTAGCATAGGTTTATTATGGCATGCATGAATTGCTTGATTTCCTAGGCTAGGTGCTTTCCTATATTTTATTATAGTTATAGCACCGAGCTAGGTTGCGTACACCGAATTCTAGAGTTTTCGGTTGCCACCAAATTGCCTTCTACCGAATTCGGGAAGGCTCTGTCAGAATGAACGGACAGGAATGATTGAACTAACAGTGAAATCAGTACAAGTACCTAACCCTAGAATTGTGTACCCCCCATAGGCTAACCCACTGTAGCCTAAACAACCACAACATATATATAATGTTTGACACACCCCCATAGGCAAAGTGGGGGAGAGCAAGGGGTCACAAGACCAGTCAAAACAAAGCAAAACAAGCTCAGGGTGGATCTCAAGGATACCACACAAATTCTGAGCACAAGCAAGTGGTCACAAGACCAGTTCACATGCAGGTTGATAATATAGCAAGAGATACAGTGAACACAGCCTAGCAGGAGTAAACATGCAGGCATATATATAAAGATCACAGTACAAGCAGAGTCAAGAGGTAAGTAAGTGAGGTCCAGCAGGCACAAGGCCCAGAAGAGTACAGAAACGCTGATGGTCACAAGGCTGAAGTGCCTTGGTGAACACATCAGCAAGGTTGGCCTCTGTGGCCACGTAACGCAGACGAAGCTGACCACGCTGCTGCAGCTCTCGAGCAAGGAAGTACCGCAGGGCGATGTGCTTCGTTCTGTGCTCCAGTCTGTGCTCCTCACACAAGGCAATGGCAGCCTGGTTGTCGACGTACAGCACTGGAGGAGAACGAGGCCGCTCTCCCAAGTCGGTCAGCAGGTAGGTCAGCCAGCGTAGCTCCTGGGCAGCCATGGCTGTGGCGTAGATCTCAGCCTCACAACTGGAGCTGAGAACAGAAGAAGAGCGTGTAGAACGCCAAGAAACTGAGCCGGAGCCAAGGCTAAAGGTGTAACCCTGAGACGACCGCTGAGTAGCCTGGTCGTCCGCCCAAGAAGCGTCTGAGTGTCCAGTAAGTACAACTCGGTCTCGTCCTCCAAGCACTAGCCCCATGCCCGACGTACTGCACAAGTAGCGCAACACCCTCTTAGCAGCATCCATGTGCTCCTTCCTGTGACGGCCAGGAGCGACATAGCGTGCAAGGATGCTAAGAGGGTATGCAAGGTCAGGTCGAGTGCAGGTCATCAGGTACATGAGGCAGCCCACAAGCTCTGGATACGGGCCACTCGGCTCTACGGACTCATCCAAAGGCAGAGCTGAGAGCGAGTGACCGGTAGGCAGAGGAGTGGACTGAGGCGAGAAGTACGTGAAGCGGAAGCGCTGAAGGATCTGCTGCACCATGTGTGACTGAGTCAAGGTGATGGTGCGCCGTGCTCTGTCTCGGGTGATCCGCAAGCCAAGATAGCTTGTCAGTTCACCCAGGTTTGTGCACGTGTGTCTCCTCTGCAGCTCCGACTTCACGTGGGCGAGTGCCGTGGTGTCAGCAGTGGCAAAGACCAAGTCGTCGACGTACACGAGGATGTAGAACGGCGGCAGTGAGGTGTCTGTGCGTAGAAACAGTGACGGGTCAGCAGTAGAGGGAGCAAACCCAAGAGCCGCAAGTGTCGTCCTCAGTGTGTCGTGCCACTCACGCGGTGCCTGGCGGAGACCGTAGACCGGCCGCTGGAGCCTCCACTGGGTACCAGGAGGAACCGACCCAGTGAAGCCAGGAGGGCGGCGCAGCCAGATCTCCTCGTGCAGGCTGCCCTGCAAGAAAGCAGTGCTGAAGTCAAGTGAGTGAAGCTCGTAGTCGCGCTGAGCGGCTATGTGCAGCAGCACCCGAAGAGTGGTCATCTTCGGGGTGGGGGAGAAGGTCTGAAAGAAGTCAACTCCCTCTCGCTGACTGAAGCCTCGAGCCACGTAGCGCGCCTTGAAGACAGGAGGAGAACCCGGTGGCCGCTTCACCCTGAAAATCCACATGCCACTGACGATGTTCGCCCCAGGTGGGGGAACCTCGTCGACGTAGGTGCCTGTGGACTTCTAGGAAGCCATCTCTGCGTCCATGGCTGACTGCCACTGAGAGGAGTAGGGACCCGCCATCGCCTCAGCGTAAGTGCGCGGGGTCGGGATGTCTGGTGCATCCGGGTCTCCCTCAGGGGCAACTAGCATGGACACGAGGTGGGGTAAAGCAGCAGCAAAGCACTGGAACTCCTCCTGTCTGTCCTCAAGGACGTCCGTGCCAAGAGCACACTCACCCCCGACGGACGGAGGACAGACAGACTCAGACACAGCAACAAGGCTAGTGGCGTAGTCTAGACGACACCGGGCAGCAAAGTCTATCAACTCAGCGACCAGAGCAGACGCAGCAGAGGACTCAAAGGTAGGGTCAGTGACAACAGTAGCGAGGAGACGGGTGACAGTGGGACTGGCAGCACGATGGGAGTCAGACTCCGGATCAGGAAGAGTAGGCAGAGAGGACGCAGGAGGAGACGGCAGCGGAACACGCTGAGGAGCAGTGGAGGGACGCAGAGTCATGTAGTGAGTGCCAGGGACAGGAGGAGGACGCTCACGTGGGACACGACGACCAGCGCGAGCAGTACGAACAGGCGACGCAGGACGAGACGCAGGCTCACGACGCTCCGCAAGACCTCCTGTGGGACCAGTGTAAGGAGAGGGACCAGGGAGAGGCGAGGCAGGCGGGAACTGTGACTGCGACTGGACAGGCGGAGGACACTCTACGGAGGGAGGAGGACAAGGAGGAGGAGCCTGACCAAGAACCTGCTGAAGAAGTGGTACGAAGTACGGTCGCGGCCGGGTAGCGTCTCCAGAACCAGCAGA